ATAAAAGACAAGATGAGCGAGCTCACTGTATCAACTTTGCTCAGCTATATATCTTTTTAAATTTGACAAAAAACAGGGAAACTCTTGCTATTTAGGGTAAAATAATAATTAGAGAAAACCATTGACCCAACAGCTACATCAGAATAGTAGCCCCAAAAGAGAATAAGTAGGTATAAATACATTTACTGTCTAGTATATATTCTATGAGAAAACTACATTAAGTTACTTGATGTAATCACTTGCTGGAGAACTAGTTTATAGAATGTGTTTGTTTTCCCAAATGAAATGTGAAGTGACTTAGGCATTTAGAATATTATTAGTTTACCAGGACAGCCTAGGAAAACTTTGTATTTCTTCAGCAGTTAAAAACTTGAGTAGTTCTATAGGTTTGACATTAACAGTCTCATCAAGACTGAAGATAGAAGGAGTGAGTTTGTGTCTTTGGGACATCTTTGTTTCTTCAGGACAGCTTTAACTTTCATTGAAGGTCTGTGTTCTGGGGAGAGTTTTAACATGTTTTTTATCTTTCTTTAAATTATGAATTATATTCTTATTTTCCTAGAAATGTTTGAACAAATACAAATAAACCAATAAGAAATGTTGATGTTTGTTGTGATTTTTTGCTAGATGGTTTTGTTTTCTTGGTTTTGTTTTTTTCTTTAATAAAACAGAATAATAAAGCCTGTCAGATCTCTGCAAAGTCTTTTTTTTTTAAATAATCCTCAACTCTTTTTCATTTCCTTGTTGAAATGGAATGTTCTTTATTTGTTTTTTGTCACATTTCAATTGTTTTCAGAGCATTAATAGCTGAAAGCTTTGAGAAATGAGTTGTATGCTGCTGACAATATGACCCTACAAAAATTCTTTGAGTTAAAATCAAAACACTTGCTTTTTTTCTCATAGTCAAACTACCAAATGTGGAAACATAAAAAAGTGGCAGCAAGACCTTTAAAGAGAAATTTTCAAACTATGGTTCAATGATATTTGTTGCTATTATTATTACATGTGATGATTTTATTTTAAGATTTCTGTCCCTTTTTATAGTTGGGATCTCTCATGAAAGAATTTTGTGATAATTGGGATAGAGAAGGAAAAAAATCTTCTGTACTGAATTCCCATAACCTATAGACCATATTTCCTGCATTTGTAGATGATGAATGCATTCCTAAGTTTTGTATCTTGAGCAAAACATTTTCTTTACAAGTTTCTAAGACATAGCAGACTTCCAAGGGTACTGAGAGAGCTGGTGAATCTCCTTTCAAGGCCACTTTCTATCATCTTTGACAGTTTGTCGAGCTTAGGAGAGATCCCCAAAGACTGGAAAAAAGTTGCATGATCTTCAACAAAAGCTAAAAGCTTGACCTGTGCAACTTCAGGCTGACCTTTATTTCAGTTCTGGGGAAATCACGGATGACTTCCTCTTGGAAGCCGTTTCCTGACACATGAAGAAAGTGACTGGGAACAGCTAGCATGAATTTATCAAGGATAAATCACACCTGACCAAGCTGATTGCTCTTCTATAGCGAATCACTAGGTCACTGGACAAGGGGAGCGCAGTGGGTGTTGCCTACTTGAACCTTGTCAAGGATTTTCACTCTGTCCACTCATCCAGGGTTGGGTATATGAATATAATGTCCTCACTTAGATGCAAGAATACTGTAGGAGATAACCGAATGGGTGAAAAAAAGAAAAAAAGAAAACTACCAGAAACCCAAACCAACCAAGTGAAAAAAAGCACCCCTGTAGGGGTGGATAGAATAGAGGGTAGTGGTTAATGGATCATACTGCACTGGAGGCCAGGAGCAAGAAGAGTACCGTGGGAGTCTGCTCTGGGATATTCCATTTTCTCATTGACTGTGAGGAGGCTATGAAGTGTACTCTCATCAGGTTTGCAGATGACATCAAATTGGGAGAAACAGTAGAATATGCTCAAGAACAGTGCTGCTATACAGAAGGACCTATACAGGCCAGACAAATGGGCCTATAGGAGCTGTATGAAATTCAACAAGGGCAATTTCTAAGTCCTGCACCTGGAAATTAATAACTCCCGCACATAGTAAAGGCTGGGGAGTGGCTCTCCAGAAAAGGCCATAGTGCCCTGGCAGACAGCAAGCTGAGTGTAAACCAGCAGCATGTCTTGGCAGCAGAGAAGGTCAAAAGCATTCTGGGCTGGATTAACAGGAGCACATATTGATGGAAGTGATTATTCTCCTTCACTTGGCCCTTCTTAGACTCCATCTAGAATAGTCTATCCAGTTATGAGAGACTGATTACCTCTAGTGAGTTCAGTGGAGGGCTGCCAAGGCTATCAGGGGCTGGAGCACTTGCCCTGTGAGGAGAGCCTGAGGGAGCTGGGCTTGTTCAGCCTGTAGAAGTAGGGTCTAATAATCAGCCTGCCAGTAGCTATGATGAGGTTCTTGAGAAGACAGAGGCAGGCTCTTTACACTGGTACATGATGGGACGATGGGGAAACAATGGGCATAAGAACAAGAGATGTTCAGACTGGATATAAGGAAAAACTTTTTCCTATGCAGATAGTCAAGTGGTGGAACAGGTTGCCCAGAACAGTCTCCATCCTGGGAGGTTTTCAGCAGGCAGCTGGATAAAGTCCTGAGCAACCTGGTCTGACCTCAGAGCTCAGCCTGCTTTGAGCAGGAGCCTGTCCTAGAGACCCCCTGAGGTCCCTTCCAGGGGACCTCAGGGAAGGGATCAGGAAAGCCTGCACAGCTAGAGCTGAACTTGACTAGGAATGTGAAAAATAACAAGAAGGGTTTTTTTCAGCTACGTAAGACAACAAAAGAAGATGAAAGAAATTGTATCCACCCTTATGAGCAAAATGGGAGATCTGGCTGCAACCAACATGGAGAAGGCTGAGGTATTCAACAGTGTTTTTGCCTCGATCCTCACCAGCCAGTGCTCTAGCCACACTGCCCAACTCACAGAATCCAAAGGCAAGTACTGGGAGAATAAAGTACTGCTCACTGTACAAGATCAGGCAGGTTCAAGACCCTCTAAGGAACCTGAATGTGCACAAGTCCATGGGACCTTATGAGGTGCATCCAGGGGTCCTGAGGGAACTGGCAGATGAAGTTGCTAAGCCACTATCCATCATATTTGAAAACTTGTGGCAGACTGGTGAAGCTCCCCCTGACTGGAAGAGGGGAAACATAACCCCCATTTTTAAAAAACGAAAAAAGGAAGACATAGGGAACTACAGGCCAGTCTCACCTCTGTACCCAACAAGATGATGGAGTGGATCCTCCTGGAAACTATGCTAAGGCACACGGAATATATGGAGGTGATTGGTGACAGCCAACATGGCTTCACTAAGGGCAAATTGTGCCCGACAAATTTGGTGGCCTTCTACAACAGGGTTACAGCATTGGTGGATAAGGCAAGAGCAACAGACGTCGTCTACCTGGACTTGTGCAAAGCATTTGACACTGTTCCACACAACATCCTTGATGGAGAGACATGGATTTGACAGGTGGACCACTTGGTGGATAAGGAATTGGCTGGATGGTTGCACTCAAAAGAGTTGGGGCAATCCCAAGCACAAATACAGGCTGGGTGATGAGTGGATTGAGAGCAGCCCTGTGGAGAAGGACTTGGGGGGATTGGTGGATGAAAAACTGAGTATGAGCTGGCAATGTGCTCTCACAGCCCAGAAAGCATCCTGGGCTGCATCAAATGAAGCATGGCCAGCAGGTTGAGGGAGGTAATTCTCCCCCTCTATTTGGCTTCTGTGAGACCCCAAATGGAGTACTGTGTTTGGCTCTGGGACACCCAGCATAAGAATGACATAGACCTGCTCGAGTGCATCCAGAGGAGGGCCATGAAGATGATCAGGGGGCTAGAACACCTCTCCTATGAGGACAGGCTGAGACAGTTGGGGTTGTTTAGCCTCAAGAAGAGAAGGCTCCAGGGAAACCTTATAGCAGCCTTCCAGTACCTAAAGGGGGCCTAGAGGAAAGGTGGGGAGGAACTCTTTAACATGGAGTATAGTGATAGAATGAGGGGTAATGGGTTTGAACTGACAGAATGTAGATGGAGATTAGATGTAAGGAAGAAGTTTTTCACTGTGAAGGTGGTGAGATGCTGGAACAGGTTGCCCATAGAGGTTGTGGATGCCCCATCCCTGGAAGTGTTCAAGGCAGGTTGGATGGGGCTTTGAGCAACCTGATCTAGTGGAAAGTGTCCCTGCCCATGGCAGGGGAGTTGGAACTAGATGATCTTTAAGGTCCCCTCCAACCCAAACCATTCTATGATTCCAGCTTGAATTGCCGTATGAGCTTGTGAAATGCATATGGGTGAGAAATGCTTTTTAGAAGATCCCTCCATGCTTGTAACTGCCAGTTCAGGACAGTATGTAATTTGAAAGAATATCATAGCTGTAACAATTATAGAAATGAGAGAATCATTCAGATGCCTTGCAGTTAAGTCTACTGAGCTAAAATGTTATTTGAGTATACAAAAGTTATTTTTGCATGTGTGTACATAATGTGCGTGTATACGAATGTGTATATGTATAGCCTCCTTTTGACTTTGGGCAATTCTTTTTGTGTCACTACTACCTTTTTTTGCCATGTCATTAGTTCATCAATTAAAGCTGTATTGGAAAATGGACAGTGTTTGCACAGTGGGATGCTGGTCTCTGTTGCTAGTTTTAAGCGCTCATGTACTACAAGTGATATTTTACTTACTACTATAATTGTCTAAAATTTTACAAAATAAAATAAAGTAGGAAAAATTTTCCGTGTATCCTTTTAATGTCAAGTTTCTATTAAAACAAGAAGATCTGATTTTTCTAAGATTTTTACATAGAATTTTCTCCTTAAGCTGGAGTGTAGAACCAGACTCAGTGGTGTGTTTCAGCAACTGTTATGCAGATTATTTTCATTTGCTTATAATAATGTACAGTTATTTTCTAGATGTGAGCATATACCCACAGGGAGTTTGTTTTATTCTTCTAGAAATAAATTCTTTATTTATTTCAACAGAAATTGAAAAGGAAAGCTGTGGGGATCCTGGAACACCATTGTATGGTATCAGAGAAGGAGATGGATTTTCTAACCGTGATGTTTTAAGGTTTGAGTGTCAATTTGGATTTGAATTAATTGGAGAGAAATCTATCATTTGCCAAGAAAACAACCAGTGGTCTGCAAACATACCTATTTGTATTTGTATGTACCAAATCTTTTATTATTATTATTATTATTATTCATATATAACATTATGATACGTTTTTCCTTATATGTAATAGTTTGTGTGATTGATAGCAGAGTTAGCACAATGCAATTAATTCTGCTGATAGGATGAATTTACTTTTGTTCAGTGGTGTCTTTGCCTAATGATTATGCCCAAGACAGGTTCTAGAATGGCTAAAATATTTTTTTCTTTTACTAGCAAGTATTAAAGCAGTTGTCTTTATGTGATTTGACATAATGTTTTTTATTGGCTTTTTTTGTAGGATTCTGTAGATTTTGTATGTGTGATACACTTTTTATAGCTACTCTTATAAGTTAATAAATTTCCTTAGATGAGAAGTTGTTGAATTGTAATCAAGGGTTTAAATTATTTACATTTTTTCCCCATGTATTATATATGAATGTCTTTTAGCACTTAAATGATCATAGACATTTATAGCTCTCTTGCAGTTACGTTATACAGCGTAAGTGAAAACCATGTTGTGATAAGTACTTGTGGCAACACCCTTCGTAACATTTCCACTAAAATAGCACAGATCAAATCTATTCAGAGTGCAATCAGTTGCTTTCATCCCTGCAACTCAATTTAATATGGCTTAACTGAAATGGTTGAATTTAAAATATTATCCTGATAACAACAAAACAACTCTGTTGTCTCTTTGAGGCTAGTTAATTTCTTGTGCTTCTGTGTGAACAACAAATGATAAGCGTGCTATTGACTTTCTGCCTCTTTAATGGGCTCAGTGAGAGGTCTGCTCATCTAAACAGTTCCCTAAAGGAGAAAATAAGTGGTGCCAAGTGATTAAGGATTGTTGAACATGGGTAAATTATAAGGACTGCTGTGGGCTTCCAGTGCAACAGGATGTTCTTTGTTACCTGGGGTCTCTGCTTGGAAGGTAGTTTTATTGAGGGGAAGGGAATAAGATAAAAAAAAAAAAGAACCTTCTTTCTGGCTTCACACATCGTAACAAATACTGAATTATTCAGTTGAGGTAATCAACAAGTTTAAGGACCCCTTATAAAAAATTAGTAATAAAATAAATCCTTATTGAAACATTTTATTCTATTATCTAATTTCTTTCTCTCTTTCTTTGGCAGTTCCTTGCCTTTCCAATTTCACTGCACCAATGGGAACAGTTCTTTCACCTGATTATCCAGAGGGATATGGGAATAATTTAAACTGTATCTGGACAATAATTTCAGACCCTGGGAGCCGAATCCATCTCTCTTTTAATGACTTTGATTTGGAATCTCAGTTTGACTTTCTTGCAGTTAAAGATGGTGACTCTCCAGATTCCCCCATAATAGGAACATTTACAGGTGCTGAAGTTCCTTCCCATCTTACCAGTAATGGTCATATTTTACGTCTGGAATTTCAAGCTGACCATTCAATGTCAGGACGTGGATTTAACATCACTTACAACAGTAAGTAATATTATTTTTTCATGTATGTGTGTGTTTTGTTTTCAACATACAGTTTAGGAGATATGTATAAGTATGTAAAAATGACATGGTAATACACCTTCAAACATATCCTATATACCTACAGATACCTAATCTAGGTGTTTAGATTGTCTTTCAAATACAGTGTTAGGGCTGAAAATATGTGCATATTTATCATTTACAACATTAGAAATCGTTGTGATGGGAGTGTTTAGAAGACCGACAAATCAGGCCAGTTTCAAACTGTAAAGCAGAACTTTACTAAATTTGTTAACAGCACACTTTGTGCTGCTGGTTAAATCCTACATAATGTTAATCACCAGCATTACGTATACAAAACTGTTGCTCTTGTACACTCATATTCTGGTGTAGCTGTGAATGCATATAATATCCTGGAGCTGCAGTCCACGCTAGCTCCTAGTCACCACAGTTAACGTGGGAAGCTGTAGGATCTCTTTGATAAGAGAAGTCAAACCGCATGTTGTTTAACCCCAGCCAGCAACGAAGCACCACACAGCCACTCACTCACTTCCCCTCCACCCAGTGGGATGGGGGAGAAAATCAGAAAAAGATGTAAAACTCCTGGGTTGAGATAAGAACAGTTTAATACAACAGAAAAGAAGAAACTAATAATGATAATGATAACACTAATAAAATGACAGCAGTAATAATAAAAGGATTGGAATGTACAAATGATGCACAGTGCAATTGCTCACCACTGGCTGATCGACGCCCAGTTAGTCCCCAAGTGGTGATTCTCCCCCCCCCCACTCCCCCCAGTTTCTATACTAGATGTGATGTCACATGGTATGGAATACCCCGTTGGCCAGTTTGGGTCAGCTGCCCTGGCTCTGTCCTGTGCCAACTTCTTGTGCCCCTCCAGCTTCCTCACTGGCTGGTCTTGAGAAGCTGAAAAATCCTTGACTTAATCTAAACACTACTTAGCAACAATTGAAAACATCAGTGTGTTATCAACATTCTTCTCATACTGAACTCAAAAACATAGCACTGTACCAGCTACTAGGAAGACAATTAACTCTATCCCAGCTGAAACCAAGACACTGCAATAGGCTTGTCTTCTTTTCCTCTGTTTTGCCTTCCTTGTGGCTTATGATTCTAAGCTATTTTTCCCATTCCCAGAAAAGGAGGAGTCCTGTTCTCCTGGTGCTACTTACCTTGTTCTTTTTCGTCTTGCCAGTCATCCTTGTGTATTCAGGAGGATGTCTGGCCTATTTACAGTCCCTTGTGCTTATCTTGTCTTTTGTTTAGCAATTTTTTTCTACTTGGATGCCTCCTATGTGCAACTACACCTGTCTATCTTTGCCCTTTTGGTGATCAAATTGCTCACATGCTTATGTAAAATGCTTGTGTGTTGTGCCGGGCTACACCATTACAATGTTAAAAAGAATACTATCATACTATCGTTAGTTACTCTGGTTTGGTATGCTTGTATAGAGGCTGGAGGTAGGTTCCTATTAATTATATCCTGATTAATGCATTTTTAACTTAGAGCTGTAACAGCCATGGGGAGAGAAATTTCTAGACTGCCATTCAGAGCAACTGCAGTAAATAGTAGTCGAGCTTCTGTCTTGAGCGCTCTGGATTGTACCTACCTATTTGTAGCTTTTGGAAGGCAAACCAACATCTTCTGTCACCTTTTGTATTGAGTTTATCTATTACACAGAAACAGAGAGTTTCTCATTAAAATGGAGTTCTGTGTATTTCACTTGCTTCTGTCCTGAGGGAGGTGAAAAGGTTGAAACTAACCAAAAACGTAAATAGCTCCACATTTACTACTTGGCACTACATTTACTGACAGCATAATAATTGAAGGTGACATTAAATGTCTTCTCCAGTACTAAATACCATTAGCACTTACTCACATTACTTTTTGCTGGCAAAATCATTACATTTCTTCTGAAGGACATATGAAGAATGGCCTACGTTGTACTGCTATCAAATAATTTGGCATTTATTCTACACCAAAGTCCACGCAGGATATATTCCCAGCTAGGGAAGACATGATGATGCAATATGTAAGCCCACAGCATGAATAACACTGCAAAACATAGTGTGAGGCTTTCCTGGGAGCATATGCAAAATTGAATTTTGCCACCCCAGCAGTGAAGAGAGAAGGACTGGGTTTAGCCAAGTTGTTCTTTTTGGGGACTTGGAAGGAAATCGGAAGGAGATGAAATGCCTGAAGTATCAGGCTTGCTGCTATGTGTAGAAGATGGTAGAGATAACAGAGTGGCTGTTGGCGAGATCATCATACCCTCCACCCAGAGCTGCCTCACCTCACACATTTGGATTTCTTTTTCTTTTTTTTTTCTTTCTGATGGTAGAGGTAGCAGAGTAGTTTTCCATGCCAACCGGTAGACAAAATAGGCAAAAGATGATGGATGTTTTGATATCCCAAAAGTCTGATGCAATGAGTAACTGGTCCCATTCCTGTCTTTCTCCCTAACACCTAAGAGTATGGTAATTCAGAGGCTTACCTGGAATGTAAGTGAATCTTCAACTGCATGAATTGAAGGAGAGCTGTATACCTACATCTCCCCTTCCCAGAAGTATGTATTACATGCTTGGCTTTATGAAAAATATAGTCTTTATTGTTGAAGCTGTTTTTCTCTGAGTAAAACAAAAAAGATCCACTAAACAAAAAAGGAAATGACATTAAGTGGGCTTGGTAACTGAGAGATTCCAGACTCCACGTTTTCCTCCAAGGAATGTTAATATTATTTTCACAGTATTGCAAGGACTAAATTCCCCTGTGGCTCTCTACTTTTCTTGCATCATAGTTCACCTCTCCATCTTTTTTTTATCTCTCTCTGGTTTTGTTTTGTTTTAGGTTGTCAGTCTTTCAGAGAAGTATTTCTTAGGACTTACCTTGAACATTGCTGTCTGGATAGGAAAGAGATAAGCTGACAGCAGATTACTGTGTAAACATCTTTTTCTTGATATTGTCTTATATTTCAGCTCCCAGCCCTCTATCTTAGCTGCTTCATCCCCAGGTCATTTCTCACAAATGTAGAATGTAAGCATGAAGAAAATATGATGTTTTCTTATTGGTTTCTATAGCTACCGGTGATCATTGCAACCTAAACTTTGAGCTGTAGCTAGGTATCTTAGTGCTGTAACTAAATATTGGCAGGTCTGGGGTTATTCAGTACTATTGAAATATAAAATCAGTTATACTGAAAATGAGATATTGAATCAATTTTTCTTAAAATAAGTTGTAACATTTGCTCTATGTTTTCTTCTGTTTCATGTCCTTTTAACATTTATAAGAGTTCTGCTTACTTCTTTAAGGTTTCACTCTGGTGTTCTCTATGGTGTCAAGCCTAAATCTAGTAATGAGAAAAAAACAAAACCAGAAAATTATTGAAGAGTCTAAGGCAGTCTTCTTGGGTAAAAATTAGGCCCGTGTATAAATGGGTATTCTCAGGTCATCCCATTCTGCAGAACTAGAACTAAATGTAGGTCAGTTAAAATAGGATTTACAGTAAAAATTAAAGATGCAGTTGATTAGCATGGGATAATCCTTACATTTAGTTTGTATTTGGAAAAAAACTTGGAACAATTCATCAAACACTGCCAAGACTTCAGGTTTAATATTTCTGTGCCGTGTAATTATACTAATCAGAATAAATTCTGGTCCTTTAAAAAATTTGCAGAGTTCCTTGGGCATGTGGTAGTCCGATTATGATATCTCTCAATTAACAGTCACTTAAAGTATGCACTGATAGTACCAAATGGTACAATTTTAATTTTTATAAAAAAGTAACAATGCAATATTAACTTTCACTAGTTTTATAATGAAACCTGCTCACTCTGAAAAGAAGTACTTTAAAGAAGTGTTTTCCATATTTGAGCAGTTTAACACGTTTATATTTTTATTTCTTTTTATGTGTGTGTTTAGCCTAGAATGGAGGTGTGTGTGTGTTTGTTAAAGTCTAGTTAAAATCTACTTACAAAAGCAAAAATAACACCAGGAAATGTGTCTAATCTTTATTCAGTAAAGACAGCTGCAATCTGATAAATTACAGAAGTAATTTTTCCATAATAAATAGTTTAAGGCCAAGAGAGAGGATAAAAAAGGGATTAATATAATTTTCACTCCATCTTGGCATTCATAAACCCAAAGTTAATTAAAAATATCCATTTTCTGCTAACACTCCTGCTTATATATTTCAAAGCTATCAGTCTCTTTTTGCCCCTTTCAAGAGTAGAAACAGTATATCACAGAAAAGGTACAACATGATCAATCTTTTCTACAAGGAATGTAGGCTACTAATGTAAAGAACTTCATTAATGTTTTTTACTTATAAGATGGAGAAGAATAAAACTGAGTTACTAGTACATAATCTGATTTTTAATTAGTATTTCCCAGAAACTATTTTTATCTCATATTTATCTTTATTATGGCAACATACATGGTCTCAGATAATTATTCTCATTCCAGTAAAACTAAACATAAATTCAACTTACGTTGGAAGTAAACAAAAGTTAGATTTCAAATGTCTTGTCTTTTTGAGTTACTTCAGTAAGTCTGATGAAGATTTCTAATGAGTTAAATTTTAGGACAAGCCCACAGAAATGTGTGACTTGAAAATGGATGATGCAGAGAATGTGCCAGAAGAATAGGAACTCAAAAGGCTGTGATTTTAAGCTTGGTCAGATCCATGTATTGGTTTACTTATATCTGGCTGTGGCAGGTACACCCTGCCCCAACAGGAAACGAAACTTCTCCAGGCAGGGAGGAGAGGAAAAAAAAAACCCAAACCCTAGAGGCTGCAGGTTGAAAATTGAACTGACCAGTCGAGATGCGCCAGGTACACAGAAGTGTTGACCTTCTTGGCCAATAGGGATTAAAATGACCACAGATCATATTCGACAAGGGTATAAACGGGGTCCTGCCGGAGGACATTTTGAATCAGTCCTCCTCAGAGCAGCAGGTCTGCAGCTGGGGACTCCCCCTTGGGTCGGGGCACCGCCCGAGCGAACTCCTCGAGGTTGAGAGCCCTCATCTTTTTGGTGAGTGATATGTGCATTTTGAGCCATCATTTTAAATTTTACGAGTTCTTAAGTCAGCTGTATAGTACTAATTCCCCTTACTTCATTGAGCCTGTGGTTTACAAATGTTACTGGAGTTCTAACTAACTTTTTACTGAAGAATAAATCTGAGATCTAGCACCTGTTGGATTTGATTGTGTGAGCTTCCGTAACACTGGCTATGCACTACTGTTGATGCAAAAGGGGGAATAAGGCAGGAGAGTGCTTTACTGGGTGCAGCAGAATGCATGAACATAGCAACCTGAAATTAGATTGGTTTAAGTTGCTATAGAACTGCATACTTACACCTGGCTCCTTGTTTCCAGTTTATATCCCAAACACAGGAGCCCTTAATGACATTTCTGGTCTTTGTGAAGGTATTTATAAAAGCAGTCATCCCTTAATCTTCCCTCTAATAAGCTGTATACATTGAACTCCTCAGTCTGAGCCTCTTACCTTATTTGTGACTCCTTTATGAATGCTTCCCGCTTTATCTACATCTTTGTTCAATTATGGAGATCAGAACTAGACACAGTATCTGAATATGGTCACATAAATTACAAGCAGTGAAGTCTCTCTGCTTCAGTCTGGATTTCCTAGTTTAGGTCAGGACAGACAAAATGCACACATTAATTATATGCAACAACTGAACATACGTGAAGGAGAAAGGATATTTATTGCCTGTGACAAAGTTGTTAATGCAAAGACTACTACAAAGTTGGGAGTGATTATATCTATCTCCCCTTTCCTCATTGGTAGAAGCAGGGGTTGTCAGTGGTTGGGAGGAAGTGTGTCAGCTCCAGCCATGAGAGTTTGGTCCCAGGTGTCCCTGGAGGTCCTCCACGGGCAGGCATTCCAGAAGCCACAGTCATGCCAACCTCCCTTTGGGCTGAGGTGGATGATTTTCTTGAGGTGGAGAGCATCTTCCAGATTGTTTGATTTTTGCTAGTTGGTGGACTGCTTTGAGCTGTTGCTCACTGATCAGGGTGTAGGCAAATATTTTTGTATAAGTTTAGATTTGCTGTTTCTACCACTTACACAGATTTTTTTGTTGCTGTTTTCATTACAACTGTATAACTGTGCTTTATCTAGCAAAAGTTACAACCCTATGAATTACATAGCAACATGCCAAAGGTCAAACTGTGGGCCCTGCCTTCAGCCTAATTACTCAAGTGATTTCAGCTCAGTAGGCCAAGACATTGACAATACCAGATGCTGCTTTTATGTCCAAAGACTGCTTTAGTCTGTTTTATTGCTGCGATAGAGTATGTCCATCATGGCACATTTTTGCTGGCACTTCCTCCTGCTAGATTTTTTCAGTCAGTACTTCCCAAGATGGAATTCTTCAAGCTGTTATGTACTACACAGAAGTATGAGTTTACATGTGATGATACTGAATAACCTACTAGTTGTTTGCATAACTTTTAACAACCTTTCAAAACTGTTTTTTTTAATGAAGAATCTCTTTATTATTTGATATTCTCTTAACTTCTGTTTCTTCTTTGGTATTTTCCTCTGAAAGGGTTACATTTACTCCAAAGCCATTGCTAGACTTGTCAAGTAAAACTCTTTGTAGGGCAATCTACCAAAACAATTAATCGCACCAGTGGTCCACTCCTTTCTGGCCCTGCTTCTAAGGACCTTTCAGAGCAGACCAGATGAGTTATGGTTAGCTTAATTCCTGCCTTCCTATCTCTTGAGATCTCTGCAGTTCCTCCCCTTCACATTTTTTTTGATACAAAATACAGGTTTTAACATCCTTCTGAGTTAATATCAGAACTGAAAGTACTTCACCGTCACCCTGTGCTGTGATTATGCTGCCTGGCTTTTTTCCAGATACTACTTAAAATACCATTACAGTCATGACAGTTGATGAGTATAAATGTCAGGAAAACTGGATCTCCTCTTTATATGTAATATTGCATGAAGAACTTTTCCATGGTTTCTTGATTTATTGATGATGGGTAAAATATTAAGGATATACCCATGTTCTTTTTCTTTTTGGTTTAAGGCTTGTATATAATATTACAGCTCCACCATGAAGCTTTTCAGAAGTATTGGCGGACTGAATTTTATGCATCAAGTAATGTAACTGCAGCCAGGCTAGGCTAAGAGAGTGACTGCTGTTGTGGGGAAGGGTTGTCTTTCATTCTCTTGCCTCACATAGCCATCCTATACTGTACAATTGCTTCCATAGGAGCAGCAGTAGCAGCCACAGCTCTCAGTTCCTGAGCTGAAATACAGAGCAATCAACCGACTTTGAAGCCTTAATAAACTGGTGTCATACACAAGCAAGCTATACCTGGAGTCAGTGTTTATCTACATTTACAGATAACAATGCTGAAAATCTATCTCTGTTGTCTGAATCTAGCAAGAAAAACAGGCAATCAATCCCCCACTAAAAGTGATGACTGTGCGCAAAATATCGAAAAAGTTTTTGTAGCCCCTATGAAAAGTATGGGATTGCATTAATTTTTTAATGCCATCCTCACATGGTAGACAACTATTCAATGAAAGCACTATTTTCATTCCCAATATATGTAATTTCCTAATTTAAATTGTCAATAAATGAATGCTTTCTCTTGTCTGTTATTATGATTCTTAATATTTCTGTAATGCAACGTCTGAGAAATCATTCTGCTAAGTTAATGAAATACTGCTTTTTTAAAAATTTCATGGGGGAACTTGGATATTTTTTGTCTAGCAGACACATTAGTAAACCTGCAGAAAAAAATTGTGCTTATTATCTTTTTAGGACGCAGTCCTTTCTGATGTCTCCATATGTAGGCATATATATGAAGTTATAATTTGCAGTGATCACATGTGAGGAAGGTGGATATTGTACTTGTGATATTTGTTCTCACTGAAAAATCAACATTTTTTAAAAGTTAAGATTTATGTGCAGTATTTTTAATAAATTAAATATCAAAATATAATAACTAATTAATGCATGGGTTTTAATGATATTGCTATAAATATGACTTTGCTCACTTTTGGTAGGAAGATGAGCTTGTTTGCTCTCCCAGTGTAAGGTGTATTCTGTAGTAGAAGACATGGACGATCTTTGTTATAGTGTTTAGATATATGCAGGGAAATTAAAATTTTTTAATTTGCCCATAGATAAAGTTGAAATTTTGGAAGGATTTGTACATGCTAAGAATTTCTTTGACCTTAAATATAATGATGTGGTTAAAGTTTCAGTGTTTCTTTCTTTCTTTCACTGACATCATCCCTTTTGTTCACCGGCTCTCAGTACAGGAAACAAAATAGACTATGGCCATATCAGGCACACCGAGGTCAGTATGGCTCGAATGGTTGTGATGGTGAATTGAAAACACAAAAAATGACTGAAATTATTACATAGTAGATGCTTGCCTTTCTGATGGATGCTTCTGGCCCATTGTAACATTGGATAGGATGGGCTATTGGAAAAGAGAACTTAGCCATTGCTGAAATCAGCCAGCGCCTAGCTGTTGAAACTAAGATTCTTGCTGATATAACTTTATCATATTGTAAGCAATTTTTTGTATTAGTATACATTTTCTGCTGTTGGTGAAGCATTTGTTTCTTACTGTTTCCTAATATAGTTTGTTCTTAACTAGCAGAATAAAATCCTAAAAATGTCATCTTACTTGCAAGATTTATCACACTATTTCCCCTCCCCATCTTTTTTTTTTCTTTTGAAAAGCATTTGGACATAATGAGTGCCCTGATCCTGGAGTGCCAATCAATGCTCGGCGTTTTGGTGACAACTTTCAGCTGGGGAGCTCAATTTCTGTTATATGTGAGGAAGGATTTATTAAAACCCAAGGAACTGAAACAATTACTTGCATGCTGATGGATGGAAAAGTAATGTGGAGTGGACCTATCCCGAAGTGTGGAGGTATGTATAATATTTCTTTCTGATTCAGAAGAACTTGCTGTGATGTCTTTTAAGTTGTCACCAAATGAAGTTCAGATTTTTGCAAACGCATAGCACAAAGCTCCTGTAAAACCTAGTCCTTAATAAAGGAGTCCAGCGAGGCATGAGCTTTTATTATAAACCTGTCTGCGGGAATGAATTTTTCTTATAACTGTTATAAGGACAGAAGAAAAACACAGAAAAAAATGGTATAAACATCAGTGATGCAAGCACTGCTATATAACTTCTGTAACAATGACTCATTTAAGGAACTTGTTAGGATTGGAATGGGAATAGTTTACACTGTTCATACTTTCAGATAGCTCTCATTTGGCACTGGTGGAACTGCAGTATCCCAAAGATATTTTATGCTTGAAAAGATCACTCCTGCCCTTTTATTTGTTCTTTTTAAAGCATGTATTTGTCCAATTTGAGAAACTGTTTAAAGCAGTGAGCTTCAGTGCTAGCAATACACCAACAAAATTCATCTCTACATTTTTGAATTCCAGTCCAATTGGTATCATGATTGGCCTCAGTAATACCTAGGAGAAAGAAATAGGAGGGAAGAAGAAAATAAGAAAATCTTTCTGTTTCACTGAACCTTATTTTACTATATTACATGTTTCTGTTCTTCGATATTTAAATCTCTTGTTCAACTTGTCACTCAAGGTTCTTAAGCAGTCAAGAAGTCTGGGGGTTTTGGATTTTTTTTTTTAATTATTTTCATCTGGTTTCATATAGAAGGTTTTCTCTTCAAAATATAGCTATTGACTTCCTACTTCAGACAGATGAACTATATAAAATAATTTTAGTGCTCAGTGACGTTTGCTGATACAATATTAGATTAGAATGAAGTTCTGATCTCTTTTCAGATCTTCAGCTATGGTATTTAAAACCATTTGAGAAGTTTTACCTCTCTGTTGCAGTGCTTATGTTTCTTCTATCCACAGTGACACCTAGGCTGGGGAAGATTCTCTAAGCAATTGATCTTCCTATTTATAGAAATTAAATACTTGCATACATCACAACCTCTAAAACACAGTGCTATGCATATTTTGTTGGACTTCTTTATACTAATAGATACAGAAATATAATCTTTGCTTCATTCATTGTCTATATTTTAAGATCTCTTCACCTAAAGTGAAAAAAAAATTCAGTTGCTTGTAAAAGTTGCTATTTAAAAAATACATGATTTAATCAATAATGATATAATCTCTGATTTATAGTTTGTTAGTTTTTATTTTAAACAAAAGCTTAGGTCTTATTTTCACTATGTAACTGCCTTCCTAACAAAATTTGCTTAATTTTAATACATGAATGTGTATCCTTTGCATTCAGTTTACTTTCTGTGATAAATTATTATTGTTTAATAGATATAAGGTGGATCAGTTTCCCTAGATAAGATTAGTATACCCTATAATGCCCTTGCTTTATTATAAGGTTCATGGAGCTATACAACACTGCAAATAAAATATAAGGTTGCATTTTCAATGTTACATTAAAAACTTAAATTAATGGGGGTATTTTTAAATGTCCGTACATGCGCAAGATAATCTGATCCATAGGTGGTCTGAGTCTCTAAATGGAACATATATTGGAATCCTAGAGGTTGTGACACTAGTATATTTCAATTAGATGTATTTATCAACTGTAGAATTAGATATATTTTTAAAATTTAAGAAAAAATTTGAAGGCAAATGAAAATATTTTTAAGCTAATAATGTAATTTGGTCTGATGGAGTGTTCAGCATTTTTATTGACTGTATACACATTTGCCTGTAACACATAGTGATTTAATATAAGGTGAAGTTTGCTTGCCTTACACACACCTCATAATTTCATTGTCACACATGAAGTCAAAGGCATGAACTCTACATACTGACTAGGAGACACTGAATGTAACTGCTTGTGCAGTTCTCCTTCCATTGCAGAAAGCTATTACAATATATAGGAGAGAACCATTTAATAATATATGTGGTGCAGATGCCTAGGGTCAGCATGCTCATTTTTCAGGGCAATCCTGACCAGCTTCCTTCCAGCCCTGCCCATGGCCCAGCGTCCCATTTCAGCTCAGCCTGGGGCTGTCAGTCCCTGCCCCAGCAATGCCACAAGAGAGCTGGTCTCCAGCCATTCTCTGCTGATCTCAACAAGCTCATGGGACTTCCTGGTTTGACCTCAGACCTAACCCTTCAGTTGCATTATTCTGATGGTCACTTGGCTGTCACCAGACCCTTTTCCTGTCACCAATCCAGTCCTGTTCACCTTGCTCAGATGGAATTGGATGATGCTCTGTCTGTGAAGGCACTAACTCTGCCTGTGTGTGTCTGTGTGCTCCTTGGTGCATGACTCCTGGCTTTTCTTCTCTAGTGGAGCAGCTTTTGCTGTTCCCTGATGCTTTTGAATTTGGGATTCCTGTCCTTGTGCCTTTCATCCTTCCTGTGTGAGGGTTATATGGAGGATTTTCCCATAATCTCTTGTAATATTATGCTGTTGTACCTGTGCTGCAGCTCTAACCTTGGTCTTCCTGCATAACTCCTGTAATGCTTAATATCCTGCTGTTCTGTAGCATGGGTGATAAGCTCTTGAAAAAAAGGTCTAAAACTATGAATCTACAAGATGTTCAGTGATTAGCCTGCCATCCTCAAAACTTTCTTCATACTCACATATGGAAATTTCCTGCCTCAACCCTTGCACCTTACTATACAAAGAAATAAATAGAAACAACTTTGTGAGAATTCTTAGATCAAGCTAAGATTGGCTTTCGGTATTTGGCATAGACCCATGTTTGACAAAGAGATTCTGGTTGATGACAACCTCTAGTTATGTTATATTTCTAGTGTTTTGTTTTTAACATACTGACAGTGGGTATGAATCTGCCAGGCAACCATCAAATAGAACTGGAAGAAAGAACAGAGTCTGAAAATCAGTGTAAAAAAGGTCAGGGAAACAATCTTTTGGCAAGATGACTGGAGAGTTTTATTTTCTAAAAAACAAGGCTCTTTAAGATAAGCCCAGTCACTCAGCTGTTCTGAAGGGAAGGACTCCTGGGTGTAGGACATCAGCATGTGATGGTGAAAGTCAAATAAAAAATTCTATTGAATCTTGCACTGCAGACATCAGGAAGAACCATAATCAGGGGAAGGATAAGAAAGACTTCCTTTTAAAAAACAAAACCAAAAACAAAACAGCAAAACACTATTATTCTCAGATCCCAAATACAAAGAGAAATTACTCCAAATTTAGGCAATCTTACAATGGGCATTATTTTTAATGGAATATTCATAGGGGTGTTTTTGTAAGAGAGTTACTTTTTTGTATTCCAAAGACAATCTTTAACAGTTTCATGGAAATTTTGTGAGAAAATGGAGCTTTGTACTAGTTTAGCAATACTGTATTCCAACTATGGTAGTATACTGGCTCAGAGTAAGGCCATCTGGTATTCCTATTCTTCTTGATACATTTTGTAGTTTACAGGCTCCATATGTATTATGAATATGTATAAATGGTTATATACAATAAAATGTAGGGTTGATGAATGTTGGAGCGTTAACCTTCTGGTTGCTGAGGTGAATATGAGTTTAAATACATTACTGTTTGGTACTGTTTGCTGAAGGTAGCATGAAAAAGGAACTTTAAGGTAAAGGGGATAAACAGTAATTTAAAACCATCAGTGAGGAAAAAAAAAGTCTAAATCTGCATATTTAGAAATGTTTGCAACATATTGAATTCTGAACTTTATATATCTTTTAGAAACCCTTTTTTTCCCTACACAGTAAGAGAAAGATGGGCTGTTATGGCCTTAAAAATACAAAATACCTCTTTACAACAGTTCATCATTTTAACATAGGCGCTTGGTTATCTCCTGAGAAAAATGAAGATCAGACAAATGTATGATAATTCATGATCTTCAATTTGAATGTGTGTCAAAGAGAGCAAAATTAATCTATTTTTGTAATTGAGAGGTCCAGGTTAATATAGACAATGGTATGTACTGTGCTGCTTTGTGGAAATGAGCAACCAAAATGCTTTGCAGACTGTTAGGTGAAAAAAATACAGAAATTTAAGAAATAGCCATGTCTTTGAGGGAAAATGCTGTATATTTCACACTATTTTTAGTAGAGACATATGCCTGTCAGCAGTACATTAAGACCTTTCCAACACAATGTTGCTCATTTATTTTCCTTGTGTAGCCTTGTATGCATAATGTCCACTGGAAAGTGGTGTTATGAAACTTTATGGTGCAGCTTTCTCTTGCTGCCGAGTAAGATGCTTCTGCTCTCTGTCTAAATGGATACTTAACATGATACTAGTAATCAAAAAATTTGAGTGCTTTCTGATAATTAAATACATAAATAGTTATATTGGTGATGGGGCAGAGTGTAGCCTCAGCAAGTCTGCCACACCAGCAAACCTGGAGGAGTGGCCGATACGCCAGAGGGTTGTGCTGCCATTCTGAGAGACCTCAACAGGTTGGAGAAAGGGGCTAATAGGAACCTTATGAAGTTTAACAAGGGGAAGTGCAAAGTCCTGCACCTGGGGAGGAACAAGGCCATGTACTGATACATGCCGGGGGCCACGCAGATGAAAAGCAGCTTTGCAGAAAAGGCCCTGGGGGTGCTGGTGGACACCAAGTTGAACGTGCCCTTGCAGCAAAGAAGGCTAATGGTGTCCTGGGATGCATAAGACAAAGTATTGCCAGAAGGTTGAGGGAGGTGATCTTTCCTCTTTACTGTGAGTACTGCTGAGGCCACACCTGGAGTTTATGTGCAGTCCTAAGCTCCTCAGTACAAGAAAGGAACATACAGGAGAGAGTCCAATGAAGGGCCACAAAAATTATTAAGGCATTGGAGCATCTCTCCTATGAGGAAAGGCTGAGAGAGCTGGGACTGTTTAGCTTGAGGAAAAGAAAGCTCGGGGGGGGGATCTTATCAATGTATATTAATACCTGAAGGGAGGGTGCGAAGAAGATGAAGCCAGAGCCA